CAAACAATAATTTTATAAATCAAAATAGTAATTTTTGACAACTAAATTTACACAAAACCATTGATAAATTTTTAGCTTAAATTCATTTTTAGTCCTAAAGTGCTTAAATATATATAGGGATATATATAGGGCACCACGGTGGCACAGTGGGTAGCACGATCACCTCACAGCAAGAAAGTCGCTGATTCAAGCACATCCAAACACATGCTATATAGGTGACTTGGTAAGCTAAATTGTCTGTAGTGTATGTGTTTGAATCAGTGTGAATGGATGTTTCCCTGTAATGGGTTGCAGCTGGAAGGAAATCCGTTGTGTAAAACATATGCTGGATGAGTTGGTGGTTAGTTCCGCTGTGGCAACCCCAGATTTAAAAAGAAAATGAATGAATTACATATATAAATTTTAGAAATGCAATAAATAATCTATGTTTTGATGACATATCTAGTTAATAACAAAACTTTAATTGCCTAAATCTGACAGTAAAATATCAAATAATAGGCAACAAGTAGCTATAAATTGGATTTTTTGCTCACATATAGCTTAGTTACATTGTGTTTGTGTGTGTGTGTGTGTGTGTGTGTGTGTGTGTGGTGTGTGTGTGTGTGTGTGTGTGTGTGTGCATTTTTTTATGTGTGTGTGTGTGTGTGTGTGTATGCATTTTGTTTATGTGAGTGTGTGTGTGTGTGTGTGTGTATGCATTTTTTTATGTATGTGTGTGTGTGTGTGTGTGTGTGTGTGTGTGTGTGTGTGTGACACAGGTGAAGCTAAAAGTGACTCTGCAGCTCTGGGTTATTTCATCACTCCATGTGTGGGGACTTTAATCACACTCTTCAGTTACATGATGCTTCCCAAACTGGTGAGTTGTGTGTGTGTGTGTGTGTGTTTGGAGGAAATCCTGTCACATCTGAGCAGTTCTGAGGCCTGTTGCACACAGCTGCTTTTGGTTTTGAGTGTGTGAATGAGAGTGTATGGGTGTTTCCCAGTACTGAGTTGCGGCTTGAAGGGCATGCGCTCCGTTAAAACATATTCTGGAATAGTTGGTGGTTCATTTCACTGTGGCGACCTCTGAAATAGAGACTAAGCTGAAGAAAAATGAATGAATAAATGATAATAATGATTCTTCAATTTCCCTTCTCAAACCTTCGCTGCATCATCAGTGTTTATTTCAGCCTTCATTAAGTTTCTGATAATGATATCTTAATCTTCAACAGAGCAGTGCATCACATTAACCCTGACTCGCATGCACATGAACACATGACATGCAGCAAACGCAGTAGGCTTAAATGATTTCTCATGAGAGTTAATCATTAGCTTGTATAGGAATGACTCTGAGTTAACAGAGACGGTTTATGTCAAGTGTTACGTCAGCTTATCCCGATCTGAACCACTAGGCATTTCTATGGATTTGGAACTTGTTCAACTATTTTTGTATAACATGCCTCTGGAGTCCGCCAAACCCGATCACTGTTTGTCTGTGTGTGCTTTGCGTGCGTGCAGGAGTTTGCAAGATTTTACCTGGAAAACAAAGGCAAGAGCTACGAGTTGGAGACATCCAGAGAGCTGCTGCCCACAGGTGAAGCTTATATTGTATATATATTCTATATTTTTTGGACTTTGTGGATTTTGGTTTTTAATTGGTGTTAATAGACTAAAATCAATTTCACTTGTAAAATAAACAACATTCATTTAAAAAAGGTTGTACTTTCACAGAAATATGCTTGAGTAATACGACTGTCATTTATTCAGACGTTGAACTGCATGTTAATTGCAATAAAATAAAATGAAGTTGTTGTTAATTCTAGTTAGAGCATCTTTATATGCCATTTAATAGAATTATTTTTAGTGTCTTCAATAAATGGTTAAAGCTGCAGCTGAATATCTTATTATGTTTTTGAGATGATAATTTTATTAATGATTAAACGTGTTTTCGATTCTCAAGCAAAATGCAGAATAGAGTACAGTTAATAAACCCAAACAAACGAATCCTTGCAGACACAAATTGGCTATAAGTGCATGCAGTTAAAACCTTTGATATACAAAAGCCAAGATGAGAGGAAAAAATGATAATAAATGAGGTGAATAAATGAAAATAAGTCCTTATGAACCCATCAAATTTACACAGTCATAATATTTCTCACTATTTTCATCTTTATAGCCAACTAGTTTAACCAGTTAAACTCTGCTGCTATTTGGGGATTTCCGCCTGGATTTTGCCTACTCAAATTTAAAAGCTTCCCAAATCCACATGCAGAGGTGTAAATGCAAAAATTTGGTATCATTTTAAAGAAAACCCTTTAAATTTTCATAAAACACCATTGAAAGTGTTTAAAATAACTGTATATGTCGTCTGTGTTATAATAAACACCTAAAAAAAGGCGCTTTTTGAAAGTGTAGCTTTTAGGTTGTGTGTGGTCTAGCGTGCTGTAATTAATGTTGGTGGTCTCTGCACATGTCTGTAATCATAGGAAAAAAGAGAAATGTCTCCATCATAATCTATGCTAAAGTTATTGTATTCCAACTGATGAGAGGTGCTGTACAAGCCACAGGGAGCGATCATTGTTTACATATTTCACTATTCTTTTGTTTGATCAAACATAATTCACTGTGTTTGGAGCACGTAAGACATATAAAAGGATTACTTATGCACATCAGCTCAAAAACAGAGGAGAATGGCCCTGAAGTGCACAGCATAAGGTGAGAGATGACAGCTGTCTGTGCTATCTGGGGCTGCTTATTGATTATGAATGTATTGTTTTCACTTCTGCACCATGGAAACACCGAGATTCATTCAGCAACTGTTTGATATGTGAATATAATTCAGTAAAAGAATGCTACAACCGTATGAGCACCGGCAAGAGCTTTCATATGAGCTATAACTTGTACATGTGTCTTATAAAAAAATATGAAAATGAACCAATGTTCAATACCCAGCTCGGGTATCCAAAATACTGTGTATTTAAGTGTAAATAACTTTTATACAGTAAAATAAAAACCAAAGTGATGCATATGTGCTTAAAATATAGATTCTACACTTTCAAACGAAACCACTTACGGGGGTCTGGTGGAATGCTAGCCCTTTAAATCTTATAGCGAAAGTCGATGATGTCACAGACCCGGTACCGGCTCCGCAGAGTTTAAGTGGTTTTAAGTACTTGGACCATTTTTTGATAGTATAAGAATGCTTGATGTTATTGATGATAAGGTGAAGATTGTGAAGATGGTTTTAAGATGATGATGATGTTCCTCCAGGTGATGCTGAAGTCTCTGAGAAGACGAGTGAACCGCTGAATGGCCCTGTGGCCAACGGGACTCCCAGTAATGGCATTAACAGTGTGAGTGAAGAGGATTCTGGGAAACAGGCCTTCATCTCGCTGCAGCAAGAAAGCGCGTCCACTCAGAAGAGCTCCGTCATCCAGGTCTTCAGGAAGGTCAGACTGCACACTAAAGATGATAACTGTGAAGATAACAATGAGTAAAGAGATCTAAAAATGGTTCTTAATGTAAAACAACAGCAGACTTAACCACAGCTGTAAAGATAAACATGTTGAGAAACTATGTAGTAGGGATCACTTTCAGGATGAGGTTTAATGAAAGACATTTTTTTTTGTACGTTAATTATTTCAAATTAATTGCACGCGTTAACTCGCAAATTTTGACAGAACTTGGGGATGGGATGCAGCTGGAAGGGCATCCACTGCGTAAAACTTGCTGGATAGGTTGGCGGTTCATTCTGCTGTGGTGACCCCAGATTAATAAAGGGACTAAGCCGACAAATAAATGAATGAGAATATATATATATAATGTCAAAACAACTTTTTTTTTAGATGTGATTAATTGCAGTTAATCTTTTCTCAGCACTAGAAATAAGGATAAAAACACACGGAAGTTATGCTAGCGAAATAAAGAATTTAAAAAAAGTACCTCATATATCCAATGCTAGTTTTGGCATCGTTTTGTTGCTTCCTTTGTGTATGCCAGGACCAACACAGAATAATTAGTGTTACTCTTATGGTAACTCTTACGTTAAAGTAAGATTGCATGAGCTGGATTCACTGGTCAGGAAATGCAGCACACTGAGGACACCTGCTGGTCACAATAGAGTAATGCAAAAACAGCATGAATTAAATAAATAAACAGATGGTTATTATTTGATGGCGTGGACACAAATATAGTTATTATATTTATAGTTAATGACCTTAGTGTGAGCTTCCCTTTTCATTTAAGCGCATTTAGTATAGCTTTAAACCTGTAATATGTCCTGTGGTAAACCTTTATTCATTGTCTTCAGATCTGGGTGATGGCCTTCTGCGTGACCTTCGTCTTCATTGTTACGCTCTCGGTTTTTCCTGCTGTCACTGTGGACGTGAAAACTGCCTATGGAGGAAAATGGGGTAGGAAAACATACAGACAGTGATGCAAATATTATTGAATTATAATTATAGTGACCAATTCACCAATTCTTGTTAAACCTGAAGTCAATCGATATTGATACGATATGAATGGATCATATAATGAGGTTTTTGATTTATGACCCTTAAAGATGAGCAAAAAAATTGAAAGTGTTTATGTTGCAAAAACAAATTAGCCAATAATTAAATATGTTTTAGTTTTCACTAGGGTTTCAGCCAGTTACTTACTTGATTCTGATTAGTAGTTTTAAACTAGGGATGTCCAAACTCAAGGGCCGGTGTCCTGCAGATTTTAGCTCCAACTTGCCTCAACGCACCTGCAAGGATGTTTCTAGAAAACCTAGAAAGAGCTTGATTAGCTAGCCCAGGTGTGTCTAAATGTGCAACACACTGGCCCTCTAGGACTGAGTTTGAACACCCCTAATCAAATTTAAATCCTGATCAGTAGATAAATGGCGCCATCTGGTGGATCAGTGAAGAGCAACACTTTCAGCACAGTTTCTCAGATGAGTGTCTTGCAGATTAATGCCTCTACAGTTATATATGATTTTTTTTGTCTTTGTGTGGTTTCAGAACAATACTTCATTCCAGTGTTTTGCTTTCTCTGCTTTAACTTGTGTGACTGGGCTGGCAGAACCGTGACCTCAGTGTTTAAGTGGGTGAGTCAGTTTTATTTCATTCATTAGTCTGAGAGTTATTTCTACATCTATTCATCATTGAAAAACTAAATAAAAAGAGTTGGAGTGGTGCAAATATTTTTATGTTTAAAGTGCATGTGTATAAATGAAAGTTAATGCAAAGTTGTTTATTTATTTATTTTTTTAAATAAAACCTTTACTTAAGTTGAAAAATAGGTAGAAAATTCATGCCAAGATTAATATAAAAAATACACAAATATTAATTTTGTGGTTAGAGCTTCTTTTTCTTAAAGAAATAATACTTTTGCTCAGCAATGACATATTTTTTTTATATTATACAAGCGTTATAAAATATCATATAATACAAGTCTGTAATTTTGAAATAATTTCTGCTAATTTGAAAAGTTAAATCAGTTTCTTCAGAATATAAAGCATAAAAACTGTTACTGTTTTAACACTGATAATAATCAGAAATAATTTTCTCATCATCAAATAATATGGAAAAAATTTTAATGCTAAAAAATAGCTTTGCTTCATAAGATTAAAAATATATATTTTGGAAGGGAAAAAAAGCTGTCATTTTTTTAGAATATGAGACTATTTGGATTATTTTAAGTATATTTGGACAGTGCAAAAACAACAACAACAACAACCTTGGAAAGTGGCAGAAAAGAAATTTAAAAATAAAATTTTGGGGGCGATTTTATTTAATTTTTTTTATTTAAATTATTAAATTTAAAAAATATATATCTTTTTAGATGTGTATAATTTTCCCCAAATAATTGCCTTTATTAGTAGAAGATAGTTTTATTGGAGGTTTTTTGCAACCACTTTCTGGCAAGATAACATCTTTCACACTTCCCACAGTATAATAAAGTCATAATAAGGATGCAGATCAGAATTTAGCTTACAGATTTGATTTAATTAAAGACCAAAAAAACAAATGTATTATTATTTTATTATTTAATGTCATTTTACTCTTCATATGTAATGTCCTCATATAATATAATATAATAATATAACAATGTAATATAATATAATAAGGATGGATATTAAAAGTTACTGTTGAAATATGATTTAAAGACCAAGAGACACATTTGTTTTATTTAATTTTTTAATTTTAATTTAATTTTCCTTAACGTTTTTGCTTGGTAAGTTCATCATATGTTCAATTCAATTCAGCTTTATTTGTCTAGTGCTTTTACAATGTAGGTTATGTCAAAGCAGCTTCACATAAATGGTCATAGTAACTGGATCAGGGTAGTTCCGTTTTAGTGTTTAAGTTCAGTTCAGTTTAGCTCAGTTCAGTGTGCTTTAAAGTCATTACTGAGAGTCCAAACACTGAGAGCAAATCCATCGATGGGTAGCTCTACAGATCTCAAACCATGCAAGCCAGAGGCGACAGCGGAGAGGGACAAAAAAACTTCATCGAGGCGAGTGAAGAAAAAAAAACCTTGAGAGGAACCAGACTCAGTCGGGCACGACCATTTTAATTACTCCGCTGGCCAAAAGTCTTGTGCAGAGCTGCAGTCTCAGCGGTGGAGGCTGGGAGCTGGCCTCAGTGAAGACTCGTCTGTCCCTGGAGCATTACTCATCATATTGACATCATATATGATGTCCTCATATTAACCCTGACAGCTCTAACTCTCTCTCTGTGTGTGTGTGTGTGTGTGTGTGTGTGTCACTCATCAGCCGCATAAAGACAGCCGTCTGTTTCCTCTGCTGGTGGTGAGTCGTGTGATCTTCGTGCCGCTGCTGATGATGTGTAACGTACAGGACCGACAGAACCTGCCTGTGCTTTTCTCCAACGACTTCATCTTCGTCTTCATCATGCTGCTGTTCTCCGTCTCCAGCGGATACTTTGTGTGTTTGTCCATGACCTACGCACCACAGTAAGTACATACACACACACAGATGAGCCCTAAATGTGTAGCTGGAAATGTCATTCAGATATGAAACTATTATTAGGTAATATTAGGTTACTGATCTTTAGACATCAATATTTTAGTTTTGGTCACATGATCTTTCTGAAATCATTCTAATGTTTATGTTTTGTCGTCTTTTCTCTCCATAAGGCTTGTGGAGCCTAAAGACGCAGAGACTGCCGGAGCCCTGATGACCTTTTTCCTGGCTCTGGGTTTGTCTTTAGGAGCAGCGATTTCATTCCCGCTGCGCTTACTGGTCTGACACACACACACACACACACACACACACACACACACAAATGGATGCTCTCAGGGCCACTGAAGGAAAGTGTGTGTGTGTGTGTGTCAGCTGTTCATATAAATCACACACGCACACACATTAAGAAAAGGAAGAGCTCTCTCTGGCAGCTTAAAACATGCAAATACTGTGCATCATCTAAAAAAGGGAAACAAAGGAAACAAACTCAAGTGTACGTTTAATGAGAAATCTCAAAACTAACAAAAGGAAACATTTATTAGCGATACCTCAGTGACTAAACTTCAACATGGTAACTGGAGTTTTCATCAGTGGCCAACCATGACTACAGCTAGCTGATAAAGCGCACGCTTGTGGTATTTTTATAGGAAATGTTTTCATTTTAGGAGCAGTTTTGCTTTTTAATTTCAGCGAATTTAGTTACAAACCTTCTTTTTTTATTCAGAGTAAATGATATTAAATTGCGTATAAGTATAGGTACATTGCTGTACCTAAATTTTACTGATATTTTATTATTATAGTCATGCATATAGATGAAAATGATATGAAAACATTAATGGTCAGTGTATTTTTTCTACTTTAAGTGTATAAAGATGACTTTCTGTCGTCATTTTATGTTTAAAACAGCGCAGTGGCTGCTGGTGTTACTGATGGAAACTGTTGCTACCATAAACCGTAGATCAAAGATCAAAGGACTTTTATTTTGTTATTTTACTTTGTATTTTATTTTATACATCAGAGTTCAAATACATTCAGGAGTGACATTATCATATAATTATAATATAGTAAAATTCATATAGGCCATTTCAATGTCATGTTGTTGGCCCATGAAAATTTCCTGCTTGTTGTCAAGCTATTTCATAACCGTAACAAAAGGTGATTCAATCATAACTTAATGTTAAACACGTGCCGAAGGATTATTTATTAATATGTGGCTCTTTTTGAATTCTCGGAAGCTATAGAAATTAAAAATGTAGAACAGGAAATGCGTTAGGACCGTTGTTATTGCTTATATACCTCAAAATGGTCTTTATATAGGGCTGGGCGATTTGGCCCAAATCAAAATCTTGATTAATTGAACATTTTAACTTGATGACGATTAATGAACGATTATTTTCTTCATTTATGTGATATTTTTTCCCTCATAGTTCACGGACAGGTTTTGTACAGTAAATATGCTCAAGTGAGAGATTTTTATATGTGTAGGGTGCATTACTGGATTTAAAATAATGTGTAGTTAATATAATAACTAGAATAATATAAGTGTAAATCATTATAGAATAAGTATTAATTAGCCTTAACAGATTGGGGTCACGTGAGTCACGCAAACACGGTACGGAAAAAATCGACCTGGAAATTTTTGATCGAATATAGGTTCTGAATGTCGATTTCAATTAATCGCCCAGTCCTAATAGTATATGCATACATATACAGTTGAAGTCAGAATTATTCTCCCCCCTGTTTATTTTCCCCCCAATTTCTGTTTAACGGGGAGCAGATTCCTTCAGCACATTTCTAATCATAATAGTGTTAATAACTCATCTCTAATAACTGATTTATTTATCTTTGTCATGATGACAGTAAATAATATTAGACTAGATATTCTTCAAGACACTTTTGTACAGCTTAAAGTGACATTTAAAGGCTTCACTAGGGTAATTAGGGTAACTACGCAGGTTAAAGTAATTAGGTAAGTTATTGTATAACAATGGTTTGTTCTGGAGACTATCAAGAAAAAAATAGCTTAAAGGAGCTAATAATATTGACCTTAAAATGTTTTTTTTAATTATTATTAAGAACTGCTTTTATTCTAGCCAAAATAAAACAAGTAAGACTTTCCCCAGAAGGAAAAATATTATCAGACATACTGTGAACATTTCCTTGCTCTGTTAAACATCATTTGGGAAATATTAAAAAAAAAAAAAAAAAATTATACAAATAATTCTGACTTCAACTGTGTGTTCTATAAATATATATATATATGGCTATAAAAGATTGAGGCAACTTAAGTTTCTCTAAATATATTGCTCATGATTTATTAGGTCTGATTTGTTACTCATGTCTTCCAGATTTCCGGTAACACATTAATTGAAAGAAATTTGCAGAATAATGAAAATTATTTATCTCAAATATTGATGTATATGTCATAAATAAATCCAGATATAAATCCAGAGAAACTGAGAATTTCCAAGTAGTCTCATTTTTTCTATAGCTGTATATATGAAGAGTTCAGATGCTAAAACCTCTGAATGCCATCTGAAATTTTTCTTCTATTATTAGCATTTTTCTGTGGATAGGTTCAGTAATTTTCACTTTTATGGCAAAAATGAGTTCTTTTCATGGTCTTTAAAGTGAAATAACTCCCCACACAACATAGAAGGCTGAGAAAAACGCTCGTTTTCCAAATAAATTTCTGACGGCACTTAAGAGGTTTTTGCATCTAAACTCTTCATATAATATTAATATAATGACATTTATAAGTATTATAGACAGTGGGGTATATAAGGCTGAGTTCTGTGATTTGAAAAGCTAATTTTAAAGGAAACATTTGCACTATTTCTAGTTCGTTAGGCAAAAAAAAAAAAAAAAATTGCTAAGCTAAACTCTGTTTTAATGCTAAAAAAAATCTGACATTTGTACTTAAAGCAGCTTTTGCCCAGATCAGACCGCAAAAACATCAGTTAGTAGGTGAAAATATGCTGATGCACTCTTTCATATTACTTATGTTATTTATAGTTTTATAGAGTTAAACTCATACACTCCACTGTGTGCTTTGGCACTGTAATGTGTAAAGCATGCATATACAAATGTGCATTAGTTTCTTTCTTTATTTTAAATGATGATGAGGTGACCAACAGATCATTTCACTGATTAGACCAGAGATATGAAGGGAAAACCAATAAAACACACACAGACACGCATAAACGCATTGAATTTACCATTATTTCATAAAGACTGTATGGAAATGATCATATTTAATATTTCTAATTTACAACAAGTAGCTAAAAGTGCTTTTATAACAGAGTAAAACATCTCCACATTATTATTTTAGTTTTATAGATTTTGACTTGTGTACTGACCATAAAAGCCAATTATTATTTATTCAATCATAAAAATACGACGATACTGGAATCAACAAACGCCTCAACCTCGTTTTATAAACTCCTAATTAAATGAAATCAAACTCATATTTCATATTTATGTTGATATTCCTGACCTGTTTAGCAGTATTTGACGTTACACTGCCTTGCACCAAACTGACTATATTTTGAGGAGTAACTGCGTTCTCTTGTGTTTTATCACTGAGGATATTTTCTAAAATGGAGCTTCATGTCTGTGTTCAGGAGTGTGTGAAGTGCCATCTGAATGTGTTTATAAAGGCGACTCTACTGTATGGACTAATGTTACAAGCGTTTGAATTGAAGTTAGTGTTGATTTTTTTAGTGTTCAGTAAGGTGTTACATCTGTTTTTGGTCTTCGAAATGATTCCACATTTCATTCCTCCAACAACAAGCTTGAATTCCTGTCATGCACATGGCAAGATAAAAAAAACCCATATAGGAATCTGAGACATGTCAATGTATGCAAATCATATATTATAAAGCAAGTTCATATTTGCATTTCATGCATGAAAAAATGCTGCATATTTCAAAAATTTCAATCATTTGAAATACAAATATGTTCAAATATAACCACAATATTATATGTTCATATATGGCCATGTACATCAGTGTCGGTACAATCAAACCGAATCTGAACACCAGCAAAATGAATGTAAACTGATTCTTGACAAGTGAACTATTTAGGAAGAGTTAATTTAACGATGACCAGGAAATATTTGGTCATATATATGTTGTTGTTTTTGATCTTTAACTTGACATGCCATCATGGAAAGTCTGAAAGTTGTGTTTTTATATAATGTTTTGTTTTCAAAAGGTGTAGTGACAATTTAAATACAGACATGAAAGAAATGAAGCCGCTGTTTGTGTGTTGAAGGTCACTTTTTATTTTGTGTGTTTGCTGTGAAATCCAATACTGATTTAGAAGAGTATAAGAAAATATATCAGTCACAGTAGTTTGTGGTGTTGTCGTCTACATCCAGCAGCAAAGGTCTTAGATGAAGGCAATAAATCATCAGCACATGAACACACACATACAAATACTGCTTCTAGCAAAAACAAACACTGTTCTGTCTATACAAGAGCTTTAAAGATACAAACACGTCTCAGATCATTGAGTTTATCAATATAGATTCAGTTTTCAGTATTACAATCCTATTGGAGTGTGTGTGTGTGTGTGTGTGTGTGTGTGTGTGTGTACACGTTTAAGATCCTATTGCCATTTGTAGCAGTGTAAAACTAGGAGCATTACTTACACCCTGCTGAAAAATCCAGCTTAAAGCAGCCTAGGCTGGTTTAAACTGGATTTTTCAGCAGGGCAGCTGAACCGTTTTCATTGCTTAATTACAGTGGTGGTAAAAGCAGCATGTTGAGATCCACTATAGGAAGCTGTGTATGCTTTTACACGTACTTAACTCCATCGCTGCTATGAGAAGATTCTGTTCAATACAAATGTGCCTCGTTTTCATGTAAACTGTGCTTATTATTCATTAGTTACACGTTTGTAAACTGATGTGGAAGGAAAAAGACTTGGATCAGATCAAATTGACCTGTATTTAAGTATTAAAATTTAAATTTGTAATTTTAAGACGTCAAATAGACATTCAAACAGAGACGTCTGGCTAATAGAGGCCGAATTAGCGCTGTCAGTAAACATCTAATAGACGTCTAACAATAATCCAAATATAGACTAGTCAATAAAAGATGCATTGATGAATGAATAGTCTATTTTTTTTTTAGACGTCTATTAAATGTTCAACAACTGCCCTAATTTAGTCTTGATTAGCCAAAACATCTGTGTTTGGATGTCTATTAGACCTTTTTAAAGCTCAAAGACATGCTTGCTGGGACTGGCTAACTACATATTTATTCTTAAAACTTGGTGGATATAAGTAGTTTTTCAGGTTAGAGAAGTCTAATAGACATCTACGTATAGACAGTTCGGCTAACTAAGGCTAAATTAGGGCTCTGGGTGAACATCAAATAGACATTAAACACGACTATTTAAGAAATGCATCTTTATTGACTTGTCTATACTTGCTTTTGTTAAATGTCTATTAGATGTTCACCAACAGCCCTAATTTAGCCTTGGTAAGCCAAAATGTCAATATTTAGATGTCTATTAGACATCTTTAAAACTCAAAAAATGGCTAACTATTTATATCCACCAAATTTTAAGAATAAGTACAGTTTAAGAATACAACAGTTCTGTCTGGTTCTCAAATCTGATTGGCTGAAAGCCGTGCAATATTCTGCATTATCAGAACTCCTACAGCTTCTTTACCCTTTGTGTATTACTCCGCCCACATACAGCCAGCAGAAAGCACGACAGATCTAAAGTGTAAAAGATGCTTTTATCTGTTTTAACAGCTGTTTAACTGTCAGCTTATGATTTGAATCCAATGCAGAAGAAAGTAGTTCCTCATATCATCTTTAAGACTCTCCATGTTTGATTTAGTTTTTTATATACACAATTATGCCGTCAAACTGTTATAAAAACGCAATATCACACAAGAAGCAGTGCGATATGGCTGTATATCGGCACTGGTGAGGGTACTCATAATGCTCATATATATATATATATATATATCTTTTGGCTAATCAAGGCTAATTTAGGGCATAAATTCTAATAGACATAACAGTTGTCTATATTGTTATCATTCATTCTGGATTCTGGATTGTTAGATGTCAATTGTATGTTCACCAACTGCCCTAATTTAGCCTTTACTAGCCAAAATGTCTGTAACTGTATGTCTATTAGACATCTCTAAAACAACAACAAAAAATGGTTAACTACTTGTATTCACAAAAAGTAAAGAAAAAATAAGTAGTTCGCCAGTCACAGAAAGTATTTTTTAAGTTTTAAAGACGTCTAATAGGCATCCAAATGTAGACATTTGGCTAATCAAGGCTTAATTTCAGCTATTGTTGAAGATCTAATAGACGTATAACAATATACCAAATTATAGACTGATCAATAAATCAATGCATTTGATGACTAGTCTATTTTTGGACTATTGTTAGATGTCTATTAGATGTTTATTTACAGCTCCTAATTAGCCAAAACATCTATATTTGGATGTCTATTAGACGTCTCTAAAACTCAAAAAATGGCTAATTATTAAAATCCACCAAATTTTAATAAGTAGTTAGCCAGTCCCAGCATTCATTTTCTTAGTTTCAAAAACGTCTAATAGACATCAAAATAGATAGTTTTGCCTAATCAAGCGCTCTCAGTGAACATCTAATGGACGTCTAAAAATAATCCAAAAATGGACGAGATGATAGATGCATTTGATGAACAGACAATTTGGGCTTGTTTGACGTCTAATACAGGGGTGTCCAAACTCAGTCCTGGAGAGCCGGTGTCCTGCAGATTTAAGCTCCAACTTGCTTCAACACACCTCCAAGGATGTTTCTAGAAAGCCTAGTAAGAGCTTGATCAGCTAACCCAGGTGTGTCTGATTGGGGTTGGAACTAAACTTTGCAGGACACCGACCCTCCAGGACCGAGTCTGGACATGCCTGGTCTGATAGATGTTCATTGACTTCAATCAATTCTACGTTTTAGGCTGACAGGGAAGACATTTCTAATCGATGACAATAATTTGAACATGACTGAAGGAGCATTTCCAGCAATTTAACGCACAGAAGCATGTCTTGATCATCCGCAAACTAGCAGTAAACAACAGTATCAGCCTCACCATTCATTCCTTGTGTGTAATCCAGTGTTTAAATCAACACTACAGATTCCTTGTGTGTAATCCAGTGTTTAAATCAACACTACAGATTCCTTGTGTGTAATCCAGTGTTTAAATCAACACTACAGATGTGTGTGTGTTTATGAGAGCACAGTGAGTGTGACGGTGCCTTTGGTCTTCTTCAGAATAGAAACGGCCTCTTCATGAGTGACTCCCTCCAGACTCTGACTGTTCACAGCGATGATCTGATCTCCCCGCTTCAGACGCCCGTCCTCTGATGCCGCTCCCTGAACACACACGTGTTTGTTTTTGTAAATTGTGGGGACATTGGTTTCCATAGTTTCTTATACTGTATAACCTGTGTTTTCTATCAGTCTCCCTTCACAAACCCTAATCCCAGCCGACACACATGAAAACAATCTCAGATCACGATGCACACATTCTCCTGTCCAGTCCGTGTTTTTAAATAGATCGCAGCGTTTGCATGGGAATTATCGTACATGCACATCCACCACTGTTTTGCGCATATGCAACATTTATAAGTGAGACTGCTGGTGTGTGGATGAGAGTGTTACCTTGCTGAAGACGGTTTTGATGTAGATGGGAAGGTCTCCGTGAGGGCTGCCGAATCCTCCAACAATACTGAAGCCCAGTCCATCAGGCCCGCGCTCCAGACTGATGCTCTTACACTGCGGAGGACTACAAACAGCAGAAATATACATGATCCTGGACCACACAGCAGTCCTAATACTCAGATTTATAATTCTGAAATGTTTGCATTAACTGAAAGCCAAATAAATATTAGGAAAAAGTATTTAAATTTCAATAATTGTAAAAAATTTTGCATAAAACATATTGCATTCTTTAGTTATTTTTGTATATTTTAACTGAGGGTTTAAAGTATGTAAATATTGAGAAATTTACCTTTAATTTTTTTATTTATTAACATTTTGGTCAATAAAACATCAATTTCTAAAGTATTTGGAAAAACAGAGACAAACTATCTTTGCTCCAACAGAGCCCCCTACCCCACTGCACCATTTCTAAACAATATGTTATGCCTATATTTAATCTGTTTTACATCGTGTCATGACATATACATACATACAATACAAACAGATAAACGTTCCATTATATGTTCACTCATCTATTGTACATAAATACGCCCACAATGAGTCACAATAGGCTTAGCAAAAGTAAAATAAAGAAATAAAATAATTAAGATAGAAATTAAAATGTAGTCAAAAGAAATACAAATAAACAATGGTCAAACTGAAAATAGTAAGTTTGGATGCATTTGTTTTATATATGTCAACACTGGTGCCAAATAGGATGAAATTTTTGACTGCAACCTTTGGTGGAGTACCGAATCTTCTCCATTGTAAGATGGTACATAAGGTCCCTAATATAATGATTAAAGGGAGGAAATTTGTCCTTCCATTTGAGCAGTATAAGACGTCTAGCAATTAATGTTGAAAAAGAAATCATGCTTTTGGTATTATTGTCTATTTTAATAACCGGGATCCGTGATTAAACCAAATATTCCTATAACAGGGCAAGGGTCAATTTTTTATTTTTTAAATTAGATGCATATTATTAAGGTTAAAAACCTAATGTTTGGACTGTGGGGGAAGTGTGTGTGTGTGTACATGTATAAGTGTGTGTGTGTGTTCTAACCCCAGGTCATCATGGAAGATGCTGCTGGCTGTGAGTCCTGCTGTCTGCTCTGCTGAAGGTCCCGTCACTGATGTATCTCCAGCAACAACCTGTAAAACACACACACACACAAATACACAATCACCACATACTAACATTAAACACACACAGACATCGAGTAATGTGGACTTTCACAATGTTCTGATTCATAGTTTCAAACCTGTTTTGATTTGATGTGGCGCTGGTGTTTTTCCTGTTAGTGTGTGTGTGTGTACGTGTTTTTGTGACATATCAGGACACAAATATGTATAATGACATGGGTATTGTTGGAATAAACAAGCCAATTCCATCTGTGTTCAATAAAAAAGGTCAGGAAAGGATTTTCTTCAATGTCAAAAATATTAGTCATTTATTAAATACAAATAAATAAGTCGAGGACAGAGCTCTGGGTTACGTTACCCCAAAGCAATACAAGAATTACATTCAGGAAGTTCACAACTAACTAAAGCCCCGTTTACACTGGTGCGTTTTAGTGTTAAAACGTTGTTTTAGATCAAAAACGATCCGCGTCCACACTAGCGTTCCACCTAGCGTCTCTGAACATATCTCCGTCCACACTACGCCACCAAAAACGTATATCACGTGACCATTCGCGCACTCTGGGCATGCGCGTTCTAGTATAAACAGAAAGCATGCGACTCGCTCGGCATTTGATTATTGTTAGTCTACAAACGCCGTACATTTAACGCGATGGCAAAAAAAGGAGAGGTATTTTTGTGGACAGACGTCGAGGTCGAGTTGTTACTAAACGTAACAAATGAATAACTGCACAATGGCGCCTAAAACGACAATAGTGCAAACAACGCTCCCATTTCTGTGTTCATGTTGTTGTTTACAGTACTGTCTTCCGGTAGCGTTAAAGCCATGTGTTATAGTCATGTGATAGGGGCTTGACGAATAGGGGAAGGATACGCAATGATACAAAAGCCCCAATCAGCTAGCGAATCTCAGCAGCCCCGCCTCCGTTTCCAGATGTCGCCGTTTTTCCTCATCCACACCGAGACAGAGCAGCAGCGCTTCAGAATGAAAACGGCCTCTCCAGCGTTTCCAAAACGCTCCGTTTTCGGCACTCGAGAACTCCAGCGTAGTGTGGACGGATGACGTAACCGTAGCAAAACTTATGCGTTGTAGTAGTGTAAACGGGGCCCTACATTTCCCTGACTCCAGCAAATATACACAACTGATATTAACAGGTGGAGTGGAGGCGTAACGTGACTTATCGGTCATTCTGCAGTCCTTTGGCTCATGTACCCAAACATACTTCCTCTTTCTGCAACCCTTCTCTGCATACCAGAACTGAACGGTTACGTGCATCTTTAACATATTTCACACTGTCTACAAGCATCATGACAACTTGTGACACGTCTAGACATCAGTCTGAAACAAGGGCCCCCATCCCAAATTTGTTCTTATCCTGCTATTTCCATCTTGTCAGCAGTTTCTTCTAAAAAAAGTATGCAGCACAGTCAAAAAGAGGAAGTGTGTCTGGTCAATGTGTGATCTCATACAAAAGATTGATTAATCTGTTTTTAGTCTAAACATTTTTCTAAAAAAACAAATAAATAAAGACACAAAAGTAATAAAAATAAATTCCTTTTTTCCCCACAGTATGATGCAGGTATTACAAAAAGGAGGTGAAATACGAGGACATTGGTGACGTCCTCATTTCTCAAAAAGCTTATAAATCCCACAGGATGAGTTTAATCAGAGAGTAAAGCTGCACACTGACTCCTGTGATGGTTGGGGTTAGGGGTGGGGTGGGGTGAGGGCAATACTATATAGCAGGGGTGGCCAACCCTGTCCTTGGAGAGCCACCTTCCTGCAGATTTCAGTTGCTTCCCTTTCAAACACACCTGAACCAATTAATAAGGGCCTGAACATTACGTGATAATTACAGGCAGGTGTGTTTGATAGGGGTAGCAACTGACATCTGCAGGAAGGTGACTCTCCAGGAACAGGATTGGCCACCCCTGCTATATACGATTTGGACAGTATAAAATGAATGGAAACCTATGTAATGTCCCCACTTTTCACAAAAACAAATGTGTGTGTTGTACCTGTAGTTGTATAAGGCCAGTTGTGTTCTTCAGCAGTGAAACAGCTTTATTGTGACTCATTCCTTCTGTTGAGTTTCCACAGATGGACACAATCCTGTCTCCAATCTAACACACACACACACACACACACACACACACACACACACACACACACACACACACACACACACACACACACACACACACACACACACACAGTTATTATGTTTTATAAAACAAATTTACTTCAGGTGACGCAGTGGCGCAGTAGGTAGTGCTGTCGCCTCACAGCAAGAAGGTCACTGGTTCGAGCCTCGGCTCAGTAGGCGTTTCTGTGTGGAGTTTGCATGTTCTCCCTGCCTTCGCGTAGGTTTCCTCCGGGTGCTCCGGTTTCCCCCACAGTCCAAAGACATGCGGTACAGGTGAATTGGGTTGGCTAAATTGTCCGTAGTGTATGAGTGTGTGTGTGTGTGTGGATGTTTCCAAGAGATGGGCTGCGTAAAAACTTGCTGAATAAGTTGGCGGTTCATTCCGCTGTGGCGACCCCGGATTAATAAAGGGACTAAGCCGACAAGAAAATGAATGAATGAATGAATTTACTTCAGCTACATGCCACTCACCCAGACTTACCCAGAGTTTGTGTGTGTGCGCTGCGAGGCCGCTGGGGTTCATCATGGCGATGAAGATGGGCACATCACCCAGAGGACTGCCAACACCACCAGCTATACTGATGCCCAGAGAGTCTGACGGAGCCTGACACACACACACACACACACACACACACACACACACACACACACACACACACACACACACACACACACACATACATACAATATAAAATACAATATAAAATATAAATATATTCAACATATATCACTAGAATTTACGACAGCACACACACAAAAACATTACAGATAATTTCTACAGATACATTATAAAACAATATGCTATAGCTATAAATAAATGTCTTTATTATTATCATTTCTATATGCACGACTCAAAAAAAATCCTAATTTAGTGTAGTGACCCAAACGCAACAGTTCCAGACATGTTGTCTATATTGTGATGTCCTCCTGGGTAAATATGCGTCACTATACGCCCAGTTTGAGCTCTGTTGACTCTGTGGGAAAAACTGACCTTTGTGAACTCGACCGTCCGGACGTCTTTATCCAGCACTGAGACACAGAAAGAGCAGGTTGAGAATGAAGAACGAATCTCATGATTAAGGAGCAGATTGAAGTGTGTGTGCTCTTACATTCGTGAGTTTTGTCTGTTTCTCCTGGCGAAGCTGCAGAGTCGGAGTGAAGAGGGACTTTACCACTGCCTGTATCACTCATCTGAACACACACACACACACACACACACACACACACACACACACACACACACACACACACACACACACACACATATTCTGCATTTATAATTACAAGGACACAAAGCATGTCCTCATAAACCACCTCGATGATGTAATGCTTACAGTAGGTCATATCTATAGCCCCTTTTACACAGTTATACCACTAAATGTATGACAAATTTCACGGTTATTTCAAAAAGGGCCTGCTCACACATGATTTACATACAGAAATCTCTGTATGTGTGAAAGGGGCTTATGTCACTGTACACATTTCTGTCCTTGTAAACCACCAAAACCAGTACACACACATACAGACAGACACACACAAATAATTAGCAGGACTGAAGTGTAACCTGACTGCTCTGAGACAGACGGCGCTCCGAGTGAAAAGGCCCCGCCTTAAAGCGTCCGATCTCCAATCGGATTGGACCAGCAGAACTCTGAGGAAACACAAACAGATAATCTTATTGGACGAGCCGAATGGGGCTCATAATATTGACCTGATATCACATTTTTAAAGTTTTTTTATTCCAGCCAAACTGAAAGAATTAACACGGAAGAAATATATAAGCCTCCTCTATCATTCATTCATAAAGCTGCAAGATCTAAATATATTATACAGTGTTTCTCAACAATGATCTAAATGACTAATTACTAAAACTTTAATTCAATTTTCAATCATTCATTCATTTTCTTGTTGGCTTAGTCCCTTTATTAATCCGGGGTCGCCACAGCGGAATGAACCGCCAACTTATCCAGCAAGTTTTTACACAGCCCTTCCAGCCGCAACTCATCTCTGGGAAACATTCACACACACACTCATACACTACAGACAATTTAGCCTACCCAATTCACCTGTACCGCATGTGTTTGGACTGTGGGGGAAACCGGAGCACCCGGAGGAAACCCACACAAAGGCAGGGAGAACATGCAAACTCCACACAGAAACACCAACTGAGCCGAGGCTCGAACCAGTGACCTTCTTGCTGTGAGGCGACAGCCCTACCTACTGCGCCACTGCCTTGCCTAATTAAATTTTAATCTATACAATATTTAAAATAAATCTGAACATTTAATATACACACATATATATATATATATATATATATATATATATATATATATATATATATATATATATATATATATATCAGAGGTCGCATTAGACTTTCTCATTTTCCGTCTCAACATATTACTGCCCGTCCTGAAATTTGCATTTTTTTTATCGCTTTTTCATTCATATTTTATTCATGAACTTGCACGACGAGCATATAGGCTAATTATTCTCTAATTTATTGTTCAACAATTTTATGTGTTTTTTTTCCGCACTGACAGCAGAGGGAATCAAAACACGAGCATTTGTGCCTGAACATGCAGATATAAACAACAAAATATATTACAAAAATTAATTTCGACTAAAATAAGAACATAACTTAAAAATATAACTATTTAGATGATATTCTGTAGGCCTATCTGCCTTAACTCGTGTCTTCCTCCTGGTCGACTTAAACTGGGTGCCTGTGCATAATCAGATCATCCGAGACTGATGCAGAGGCAATTGTCATTAAATTCTGTGTCTTTGCCTCGGACTTCTCGTGACAGTTTCGTTTTGGAGGCTTCTGCTGCCACACTGGTAAATTACTAGCGCCACTTCAGCGGATGGGATAAGACGTTTTGCAGGATTCTCTGAATGTGGAATTTCCTGATCCTGCAAGCACTTGTTTCAATGAGAGAAAATCCTCAGCACGCGCTCTTTCAGCACCCTCTGTGTTACGTAGTGCTCACAAACGAGCTCCAAAACACCCGACCGCCTTGCTGCCGACAAAACAAGACAATTGCTAATTAATATGGGCAATCGCCATCAGCTGGACAGGAGTGGGAAGCTACAAATTACAATAGACAGTTAGCTACAAATTATAATAGATCGCCCTCAGCATAATCTGTCAAAATGATGGATCAACTACTGATTTTTCCGTCACTTCGTCAATGAAGGAAAATATTCAGTTAACCCGACCTCTGATATATATATATATATATACCAAAAGCAATATCAAAGCAGCTTCTTCTCGCAGGATCCCTCAGTCATAAAGCTATTAGATCTGAAAATTCATTGTTATACAGTGTAAAATGCATATACAGTGTGTTTCTGCAGTGTGTTTGAGTTGTTGACCTTCAGCAGAGACGCCACAGACTCCTGCGTGGCCGAACGAACATCTTCTCCATTGACTGAGAGGATCTGATCTCCCTGCAGGAGCCGACCGTCCTGCTCCACCACTCCACCCTTCACTATATCAGACACAAACACACCGGTGTCGCTCCTAACACACACACACACACACACACACAGACAGACAGAGATATAGACATATCTTGTGCATCTTACAAAAATAAAATAAAAACCAATAATAACCATTAAAGGGCCATGAAACCCCCTTGTTTCAGCAGGGTGTTTTCACACCTATACATAGGAAAAAGTCAGGAAAGTGGGCGTGTCCAGGTCTGTTTAGGGGGGAGTGTCGTAGGAGGGGAAAAGGCATGGTCTGTAATAATTTGCATAAAAATGGGAGTGTCGGTTTGGGCACAGAGGCAAAATAAACAGACGCAGGGGAGAAAGACAGTAACTGTGTTTACATGGACATCAGTAATCCAATTATTTGCCAAATTATTAAATGGTGGACTTTAACTGCAGTTTTGCTCTTTCATTCAGGAATTTCATTCATGCCCCTCGTGACAAACGAGATATTTGATTCGAGGAGTTGCTGGAAGCGTGTATCTTTCATGCAATGTTTGTTTCCGCACGGCGAATGGGAGAAAAAATCCTTCGCATTTCTCGGTAACTTAGATGCACTCGGTAGGCAGCGTCAGAAAGCCGTGTGTGTTACTCCTGTCACAAAATGCGGCGCAAATCCTTCACGACTGTAAGTTTGGTTGTGTTGCTAACATGTTTACACTCGGAGAGCAGCATTTACAGCAGATCTGTCAGTCCATAATACTGTAGAGATGTTAACGTGCGGTAAACTTTATCAACGTAGAAACCATTTGACTAAGGTCCGTCTTTAAACACTGAACGAGTACTGCTGACCATACCTACTAACTTTACCATCTGAATAAACAAACAAAGAGCACTGATCACACACTTACCAAATCTGTAGAGACAGGACAATCAAAACAACAGGAGCCGTGTCTTTATTAAAAGGAGACGAGCAGCAAATCTGGATTTCACCATTTCCAGATGAGAAAAGCTCTCAGGTAAACAATGTTCCTTAGACTTAGTCGCGCGTCGCATGCACTGTAATCCACAAGTAAGTCCAGCTGCGCTCTCATAGCGGGAAAATGAAAACAAAACCTTCACTGCAGCAAATTATAAACGCAACACTGACGACCCGTATCCCCAAACAATTCATGTTCTCCCGCTTGTCAACACAACGTGGCGTCTTTCTGCAGTCTGAACACTGTAACAGGTCTTGGAAGCGATCATGCATATTAATGAAGTTGCACCACATACACAATAGAGCGCGCTGATTGGTTTGAACCAAGTCATACTCATGCATTAATGCAGCACACTCAGAGATGTAATAAGGCACTCTCAGGTACAGACGTCCAGTCTACACGCTGGAACACACGCTAAGATCTCATGGCCGTGACGCAGCTTCAAAAATTCATTAAAAATCAGAAGCACGAATTTGCTTGAAATAACGCAAAAACAACCAAATTTGACTCTTTAGTGAGATATATGTGTCCTAATAGTGTTTATAGCAGTGTGGGGCACATATACGACTGTCAACAGCTCAAAACATGTGTTCTGGTGTTTCAAGAGTTCACACTTAGCTGATGATCAATATAAGCAAGTTTGGCACACTGTCCCGGGAGAGAGCCCTGAGCTCAAAATGTCCTTGAGCCCTGGGCTCCCTCCCGTTTGCAGGGCGAGAGCAGAGCTTTGAGCTCAGGTAGATCTCGACAACTCCCCCCTTGATAAGAGATGATGACTACAATGAATGCTATGGAGAGATATGCTGCAGGATGAGGGATTGACTGTAGTGCTAAATTTAGATTGATCAATTCACTTGTGCATGTTTCTGGAATGTGGGAGGAAACCGGAGGACCCGGGGAAAACCCACGCGAGCACAGGAGGAACATGCAAACTATGCACAGAAACGACCGCCGGCCTGTTAAAGGACTAGAACCGGTGACGTTCTTGCTGTGAGGCGACAGTGCTAAACACTGGACCACTGTGCTGCCCTATGAAGGAAAAGGTGAATAGGTAGGGGGTGGAAGGGGGGATTCTTCAAATCTAAGATGACTGTAGTGAATAACCCTGGCTCTTCATAGTGGGTATGGCCTGATTGGTGGATCATACATGCTAATGCAGAAACAGCCGTGTTCAATCATAATCACGTGATCCTCTCGAAATTAGTTCATGAATAAACTTCACTTCATGACCCTTTAATGTTTATTTAGTTCAGCTGTAGTTAGCACTGGTTTCAGGCTTTCCCCAGGAACCCAACATAAGTTGACCCATAGCGCTACCTGCTGTCTTGGTGGAAGAAATGGCCCAACGCATGTGAGGAAACCTGAATGAACGCAGCTGCAGAAGTGTTTGTTCAATGGCTACATACAGTTACATGCAGACGGACTGTGTTTATTTATGAAATAGGATTTATATTGGTAAAACAGAATACCTTTATTTTGTTTTTTGCTCAAACTGATTTTTTTTTTTTTTTTTTGCAAAGTGGTTTCTGAAAGTGTTTGCGAATCCAGTGAGTCTTTGCAATGCAGATCGTGTTTGTTTGCAAAAGGCAGGATTTGTTTGTGAAATATTGGCACAGATTTAGCTCCACATCACACACATTTACTAGTCTGGCTTATGTTCCATAAATGAAAATATCTTGTCTTAGTCCTATCAGAATAGCAAACACTGAACATCTCTCTATATTTAGGCTTAAAGGGTCACGAAACCCCAAAACACATGTGTTTGAGCTGTTGATAGTCGTATATGTGTCCCACACTGCTAAAAACACTATTTGGACACCTATATTTCACTAAAAAGTGTAAATTGGTTGTTTTTGCGTTATTTCAAGCAAATTCGTACTTCCGGTTTAAAACGAATTTTTGACCGTGCGTCACGGTCATGACATCATAGCGTGTATTCCAGCGTGCAGACTGGACCAATGTGCCAGAGTGTGTCTTATTACGTCTTACAGTGTGATGCATTAATGCATGAGTAAGGCTCGGTTCAAACCAATCAGCGCGCTCTATTGCGCAACTTCATTAATATTCATTAGTCACAGTGTTTAGACGACAGAGACGCCACGTTGTGTTGGCAAAACAAGCGTGAAGTGTTGCTTTTATAGTTTGCTGCCGTTAAGTTTCGTTTTCATTTTCTCTCTGTGAGAGCTCAGCTGGAGTCACGTGTGGATTAACAGTGTACGCGACGCTCGACAACAATAACTTACGTGTCTAAGGAGGATTATTGTTTACCTGAGAGCTGTTCTCATCTGCAAACGCTGAGATCTGGATTCGCTTGTAGTCTCCTCTTAATAAAGACGCGGCTCTAGTTGCTGGTGATTGTCCTGCCTCTACAGATTTGGTAAGTGAGTGACCAGTGCTCTTTGTTTATTCAGTTTGTTCGTATCGAACTAAGTTAACTATTGCACCGAGTGTAAACATGTTAGCACCACAACCAAACTTTAACCTCGTGTAGGGTTTTTACCGCATTTTGTGACCGGAATAACACACGCGGCTTTCTGACACTACCTGCCGTGTGCATCTAAGTTTCCGGGAAATGCTGAGTTTTTTTTCTCTCATTCGCCGTGCGGTATCAAACATTGCATGAAAAATACACGCTTAGAGCAGTTCCTCGAATCACATATCTCGTTTGCCGTGAGGGACATGAATGAATTCCCTGATTGAAAGAGCCAAACAGCAGTTAAAGTCCAACATTTAATAATTTGGCAAATAATTCGACTACAGATGTCCATGTAGGTTAAACACCATCACTTTCTCCTGTGTGTGTGTGTATTTTGACTCTGAAACTCAGCGCGCCCAAATAGACACTCCCACACCAAGCCTCTTTTCTTCCTCCGACACTCCCCCCTAAACAGAGCTGGACACGCCCACTTTTCTGACTTTTTCCAAAGTAGAGGTGTGAAAACACCCTGCTGAAACGAGGGGCTTTCATGGCCCTTTAAAGACTGCTTTATTTATTTATTTAAGACTACTTATTTGTACTGAATGTTTGTGCTTTCATGTTAGTTGTCTTTTATTTCTTCAATTCTATTTTCCAAAACGAGTCCTCTTTGCACTTAAAAAGTTTACAATAAAGCGTGTTAACAAATTTGAAATGATTAATGAAGGAATTATAATGCTTTGACTTATTGTTTAATCTCATGTACAAGCACAGTAGCATATTTAAAGCTGCTGTAAAGGCTATTTCTGTCTGTTCGCATCCCGTCCCTTTGCGCCCCCTGGTGGCTCATTCACAAACTGCGGTCATACACTAAAAACAGAGCGGCAGCTATTTCAAACAGTGGCGGTATATGCTCTGGCGGTAATAGCCACTTTGAACTCTCACCTACTGTACTTTACATACCTATTCTAGTTTGGTTATCTGGTGCAACATTACCTTCGGCCGATGATGCTGAGTCCGAGTCCCTGTCCGGGCTTCTTCTGCAGCTCGACGCTCAGCGAGTCCCACAGCTCTTCCTCTTTATACTGAGCCTCGTCTCTGAAGACGGAGAGCCGCACGCGCTGCGGAGTCTGACGGAGGACATTTATGGCTTCATCATGAGTCGCCACACGCAGGTCTATGCCATTCACCTGCATGCGGAGGAATTTTTAATATGCACAGTTGTGTGAGTATTTACGTATTAGACATTGTACTTTCTTGTTGTGATTGATCACTGAAGCTCATTGACCATAGAAAAGGTTACATTAACATGTATAATAGCAAAAAATGCCTAGTGTATTGCTTTATTATATTGCATGCTCAGAGTAAACATTTGTTTTAACCAAATTAAATTTCGAAAGGATTATAAAGAGTACATACAATAGGTGAAACTTTAGCCAGAATTATTTCCATTACGATTTACAGGGTGGCCATTTATATGGATACACATGAATAAAATGGGAATGGTTGGTGATGTTAACGTCCTGTTTGTAGCACATTAGTATATGTGAGGGGGAAAACTTTTCAAGATGTGTGGTGACCATGGTGGCCATTTTGAAGTCGGCAATCTTAGATCCAACTTTAGTTTTTTCAATAGGAAGAGGGTCATGTGACACATCAAACTTATTGGGAATTTCACAAGAAAAAACAAATTGGGTTTTTTAATGTCACTTGGATTGTCAATGCGACCCTCTTCTCCCACTCTTCAAACACTGATAGCAACACCGCAGGAGGAATGCCAGCACGGGCTTGCAGTATCCATAGTTCCAGGTGCTGCACATCTTTTATCTTTACACCATAGACAACTGCCTTCAGATGACCCCAAAGTTAACAGTCTAAGGCGGTCAGATCAGAAGACCTTGGGGGTCATTCAACTGGCCCACGATGACCAATCCACTTGTCAGGAAACTGTTCATGTAGGAATGCTCGGGCCTGACACCCATAATGTGGTGGTGCACCTTCTTGCTGGAGAAACTCAGGGAATGTGCCAGCTTCAGTGCATAAAGAGTGAAACACATCATCATGGAGCAATGTCAATCCAGTGGCCTTGAGGATTCCACTGATGAAGAATGGCCCAACTATCTTTGTTGTCTATGGTGTGAAGATACAAGATGTGCAGCACCTGAAACTGCGGATACTGGAAGCCTGTGCTGGCGTTCCTCCTGCGGTGTTGCTATCAGTGTGTGAAGAGTGGGAGAAGAGGCTTGCATTGACAATCCAACACAACAGGCAGCACATTGAACACATTTTATAAGAGGTCAGAAACTTGTAAATAACTCATGAAAGAATAAAGTTAGGTTAAAACCAAGCACTCCATTGTTTTTCTTGTGAAATTCCCAGTAAGTTTGATGTGTCACATGACCCTCTTCCTATTAAAGAAAAACAAAAGTTATATCCAAAATGGCCGACTACAAAATATCCACCAGGGTCACCACACATCTTGAAAAGTTTGCCCCCTCACATATACTAATGTGCCACAAACAGGACGTTAACATCACCAAACATTCCCATTTTATTAAGGTATATCCATATAAACGGCCCACCCTGTACTGAGTTGTTGAACACAGGCATATGTCTAAATCTTTCACGATTTTACCTCCAGAATCTGATCTCCTGCCCACAGTCGGCCATCTTTAGACGCAGCTCCTTCCTCGTACACTTCATGAATGATTATAGCGCCCTGAATAGAGCCACACTGAGTCTTTACATGTGTTATTATTATAGGGGTGTGCATCAGGTTATTAAAACAACACATTTGACCTTTTCCCAATGCTGTCAAGGCTTTGCAATCCAAATAATATCATTATAATGGAAGTCAATGGGGCACAAACATAAAGAAAGGGTAGTCAATTTGAACAGTACACAAGGGTTAATTAATATCACATTAGAATATCACATAGAAGCCGTACAATTAAATGTATTAGTCCTAATATTAGTCCTGTAATAAGTGGTCATTATTCACCAGTAAAGTATCGCAGCCACCAACTATACTCAGACCCAGTCCCGTTCTGCCCTTGCAGATCTCTATGGTGGTCTCGCAGCCGGGGATGATGGGACATGTGGTCGGATCAGACGCCAGTGTTGCCGGTGTGGAGCATCTGCTGGAGTCTGTATCACACAATCAGAAATATCAGCTTTAACCTAAAACAACTGTGCTCCTTTATCTAAAACAACTCCCTGACCCCTCCCCCTTACTCCTGATTGGCTCTGGTTCTGATGATGTCAGTGGGAGCGACAGCTGGTTGAGTGCTGGCTCTGATTCTCCTGACGGCATCTGACTGGATGAGGAGGGCTGGGGGGCGGAGTCAGCGCAGATGGTGAGACTGAATGAGCTCTGAGGTTCTTTCTGTAACACACACATCCACGCACACACCGACCTCAACAATCAGGTGTGATGAATTTGAAAAATAATAACTGATTTTTACACACATTACTGTGCAGATTTTTGTTTTCTTTTACACCTTTAAAAGTAGTCTCGTTTTTCTGCGGGGCTGAAAAAACTCTAAGATATTATTATAAATTAAACTAAATGAATATATTTTAAAATAGAGTTTATTAACAAGATTATATTCAATTAATAATGACGCCATAAACAATTTAAATTGGCTGTTTTCATGCTCAAGAAACCATTTTTTATGATTATAAATGTTGAAAACATCCCTAATCACTTCTTGCTTAATAATCAATATTTTTCAGGATTTTTTAAAGGGCACATATTTTAACTCTTTTTTATGATTTAATATTAATATTGTGGTTCTTCTGAGTGTGCCGGTTTAGATCCAGTTCAACACACAGTTCAGATTTGTTTATTATAATCAAGCGGCAACCTCCCGCTCTCCCTCAGGAAGCCAATACGGAAGTAACAAAAACTGCAATTCATCTGAAATTCCGCTAGTCCTGGCCGCTCCTGGCTCCAAAACAGAGCAAAATTCAATCGAGCCCACTGTTAGAATGACCAACTTTACAGCAGAAAAAACGTGTTTACACCCTGCTAATAAGAAAGATTTTGGTTAATACAGCTAATATTACCCTTCATCACAACTGTGAGGGGGTGAATTTATTTATAACTCATCCGTTTCCTTTATATTAAGTTATATTAAGTTTGCATAATTAAGGGCGTGGCCACTTGAGTGACAGCTAGGTCTCGCTGGTCGCCGTCACGTCACCTCAGCTGAATCCTGCAGATTAGCCACTGAACTCGGCATATTTATCGTATTTCTGTGTTGTTTTATGTGGCTTTACACAGTCGACTGCCTTTTGGACTTGTTTCCTACAATTATTAGATGGCATGGCATGCTGAGTGCACTTAATTGTGCTCACAAACCATTCACGTGGCCTCCGTTTCCCATGTGAGTAAAGTTATATAATTATATACCATCTCTATACATGTTTTTGTTTTATTTAAGATCATTTATCGTTTATATTTATATTTAGAGCTGTAATGCACTCCAGTATCTGTCAGATTGATTAGCTGTAGGCTGTAGATCAGTCATCTGAAGCGTTGTCATACAGTGTTATGCTGGAGTTCATCAATAGTCTTACATTAACTAACACAGACTATATCTAAAGTGTTTGGAAGTAATTCGTGTTTTCCTCCTGTTGAAAAACGTCATAAGAGCAACGTTTAGTGGCTCAGTGTGTTACAGCAGTGTTTTTAAAAGTCTAAACACTTTATTTATATAGTGTACAGCCAAGCACAAGTGGTCAGAACACAAGCGAGTCGCAGGTGATAAAGTATTAAGCGTTCTCCCAAAGTAAAGTGTGTCTGAGCCAGGTCCAAGCAAAATGCCAGCAGGTGTCTGTAGCTCCGCCCACTCTCCACCTCTTTGCCCTTGTTTGGTATCCCGCCGTGGGTGTGATGACGCGCGAACAAAATGGCGACGGTTGGCCACGCCTACTTGTGGCTTCTTTTGCGCTCTTTAGAAACCTACGGGTGACGTCACGGATACTACGTCCATATATTTTACAGTCTATGATTATAATGTGTTAAAAAGTGTCTTGTTGGGGGTGTGCACACAGCTTGCTGTTTTAGAGGCGTGTTGCTTCATATGAAAATTAGTTTCGACTTTCCGCCCAACGTAACAAGGGGGCGGAGCCAAGAGCTCCCATGCTCTGTGTTGGCAACAGACAGGCAGACAGAGAGAAGCTAAGCTACATGAGAGGATCAGCATTCAGCCGTACATGTACGACTCGGACACAGACCAAGCAGAGAGTACAACATCATGTGTCTACCACGCATTAACTTTGACTTAGGCACCGGATAATCTTTACAAGAAGTGCCACGGGATAAAAGTGAACGCCATGGCAGAAGTAAAAGCATACATATTTTCTAAAACTCTCACACATCTGTAAATGTGCACACTTGATAACTCTTACCCATCCAGCGGCTCCGTTCTCCTCGACACTGTGTATGCTGCATCCGCTCCTGCTGTCCTCCTCCATCCCGACTCCTCCATCCTCCTCCATTCAGGACATAGATAACAGTTCATATCAGAGATGGAGAGAGAGAGAAAACACAGAAGAGTGTATAGAGAAGTGAAGTGTGTCTCACCACCGGCAGACTGATGTGCTGGATCAGGTCCAGTGTTGAACTGACAGACTCTGCCTGAAGAGGAGGGAAATACTGCTATTACATTCATTCATTTCGGCGTAGTCTCTCATTTATCAGGGGCTGCCACAGCAGAATGAACCTCCAACTATTCTAGCATATGTTTTACACAGTGGATGCCCTTCCAGCCGCAACCCAGTATAGTGAATCACACATACATACACATACACTCATACACTACGACCAATTTAGTTCATTAATTCCCCTATAGCACACGGAGGAAACCCACACTAACACGGGGAGAACATGCAAACTCCACACTGAAACACCAACTGACCCAGCCGGGACTCAAACCAGCAACCTTCTTGCTGTGACGCCACAATGCTAACTACTGAGCCACCGTGCCGCCCATGTTAACTCACACTGCATTAACTGATGGTAACAAACTTGAATTTCGATTTTTACAATGCATCATTCATTCATTCATTCATTCATTCATTCATTCATTCTCCTTCGGCTTAGTCCCTTTATTCATCTGGAGTCACCACAGCAGAATGAACCGCCAACTTATCCAGTATATGTTTTAAGACTGATTTATACGTCTGCATCAAGCGCACGCGTATGCTACGGCGCAGCCTATGCATGGACGCAATGTCCCCGCCGTGGCCATCGACATCGCTGATGTGCACTTCTTAAAAATGTAACTACATGTCGCAACGACGCGTAGCGCAAGCTCTGTGATTGGTCAGCTTGGAAGCGCTGACGAGTGAAGGCGGGACCAAGAGCCCGATGAAGCGACTGTTTACAAGTGTCGACTGTTTACAAGGAGCTCCGGATGGAGACTGTTGCTTTGTGTTTACCGAATGGTTCCTGCCTAAAAATGAGTGAGTTTCAGCCACTTGTACATTCAGGAAGCGTTAAAAACACCAGTGAAGAAACTCGACACAGAGGAACATTAACACCTACTGCCAGCTAGCGTAACGGAAGTGTTAATGCAAAGCAACAGAAACAGTGCGCAGAAGTATGAATGCACAGCTACGCACGTTGCATGCGCCGTGGGTCACGGCAATCCCTTGACCCAGAAGTATAAATAAGGCTTTACACAGCGGATGCCCTCCCAGTACTGGGAAACATCCATACACACTCATTCACACACATACACTACGGCCACCAGGAAACCTATGCGAACATACAAACTCCACACAGAAACGCCAACTGGTTCAGCTGAGGCTCAAACCAGCCACCTTCTTGCTGTGAGGTGACGGTGCTAACCACTGCGCCACCGTGCCGCCTCTAATAATACATCATTAAATGTTAAACTATGATTATTGTATGCTGTACAAGTATTGTTCATAATTAGTTCCTTTCAGTAAACACATATTAGTAATGAAACCTTACTGTAAAGCGTGACCGTACTCATGTACTATGATCTGGTTCTACTTTCCTAGTGCTGCGTTCGCACCAGACGCGGCACGCGCGTCAAGCGCGAGCGTTTTACATGTTAAGTTAATGCAAACGCGCGAATAGACATTCTGCGGCGTGATACGTGCGAATGGCGCGGCGCGAATGACGCAAATTGCGGGAATGGCGCGGGCGAATTCCACACAGGAGAAGACGCGCCACGCTGTTTCTCGCCGCCAGTTCTCCTTAAAAATGAATGACTTCTGGCTACTCTGACGCTCTCGCTGCTTTCGGTTTGTGATCGCTCCTCACTTTGTGAAGGATTCCCTGCGTTGTCGCTCCACCCCGCCCCCTTTCCCGCTCCTCAGTTTGTGATCGCTCCTCAGTTTGTGAAGGATTCCCCGTGTTGTTGCTCCACACCGCCTCCTTTCCCCGCTCCTCAATTTGTGATCGCTTCCCCGCGTTCGGCCCCCCTTCAACTGGGGGCCCCGTCAGTGATCCCTGCAGGGGGCCTCCGCATTTTGCGCTACGCCACTGAGTATTACCATTTTTTCATCCATTCAGCTGATCTCAGGGTCTGGCAGGAGCACTTTTAACTCCGCTTAGTATAGATCATTGAATCAGATTAGACCTTTAGCATCTACCTCAAAAAAACAAAACAAAGAAGGAATATTGATCATTTTGACATTTACTCTCATTCTGGTGTAAAAATCAAGACATTTTGCGGTCAATATGACGCAATGATATTATGATAGTATTACTTTATGCCTTAGTATTAGTATTATTTTATACAGCCACAAAATTCCCTCTGATTATGACACCAGAATGAGAGTATAGTTCCTAGCCGTAAAGAAACTAGCACCTTTTCATTTTTAGTCAGTCTTGGTGTAACGGAGGCCAGCTAGTGAGTGCTGTGCAGGTAAACCTCACTCCTCTGACCTCTAAAGGTGCTCTAGCGACAGTCACTAGACGCATGGTCTTTAGCCTCCTTGGTAGAGCACCCAACTCCCATGCGGAAGGTCGCCGGTTCGATACCAGAGCGGGTTGGGTGGTAAGGACCGGAAGGGTTATATTGGTGCCGTGACCCGGATGGGAGTGAAGGTTAGGGTGGTGAGTGCAATGGAGGCCAGCTAGTGTGTGCTGTGCAGGTAAACCTCACTCCTCTGACCTTTAAAGGTGCTCAAGCGACAGACACTGGAGGCCATGGTCTTTAGCCTCCTTTGTAGAGCACCCGATGCGGAAGGTTGCCGGTTCGATACCAGCTTGGAGCGGGTAGGGTGGTGTAGGACCGGCGGGGTTACATTAGTACATAATATAGCTATAGAAACAACAAGCTTTAAATAGGCAAATGATCAAATCTCTTCTTTGAATATTTTCGTGAGATGCTAATGGTCTAATCTGATTCAATGATCTATGCTAAGCTAAGCTACAGACATAAATGGATGGATTGGATTCATAAATGACTCAAACTGTTACACTGTAAGAGAGCTGTAAAATCAGTGTATCTTTTTAAGGATTGTGCTCAGTCAGTGGTAATAAAGCTCACCTCTATGTGTGTGTCAGGCGAGTCTGTGTCTTTCATTGGGCCGACAGCCATCTGACTCAGAGCATCTCCATTCCTGAAACACACCCACAGCACATGATTCAGGCGTTCAAAACACATTAGATTAAATGAACTACACATCCAGACCTCAGACCCACCGGATGAAGATGATCTTGACCTTTGAAGGGGCGCTTTTAATGATGGCGGAGGCGTTCTGATGACTGCGACCGTACAGAACCTGACCGTTAATCTGAAAACGAGAGTAATCAGCACATGTTCAGCAGAGGTTTGTTATCCTGCTTGTAATAGAAGTGAGCATCTCTATTTGTAGATGCTAAAAATTATCAGTCTATCAGTCTTTTAGGGCGGGGCTATCAGTGCTTTAGGGTGGGGCTATCAGTCTTTTAGGGTGGGGCTATCAGTGCTTTAGGGTGGGGCTATCAGTATTTTAGGGTGGGGCTATCAGTGTTTTAGGGCGGGACTATCAGTCTTTTAGGGTGGGGCTATCAGTGCTTTAGGGTGGGGCTATCAGTCTTTTAGGGCGGGGCTATCAGTCTTTTAGGGTGGGGCTATCAGTCTTTTAGGGTGGGGCTATCAGTCTTTTAGGGTGGGGCTATCAGTCTTTTAGGGTGGGGCTATCAGTGCTTTAGGGTGGGGCTATCAGTCATTTAGGGTGGGGCTATCAGTGCTTTAGGGTGGGGCTATCAGTCTTTTAGGGTGGGGCTATCAGTGCTTTAGGGTGGGGCTATCAGTGCTTTAGGGTGGGGGTATCAGTGCTTTAGGGTGGGGCTATCAGTCTTTTAGGGCGGGGCTATCAGTGCTTTAGGGTGAGGCTATCAGTGCTTTAGGGTGGGGGTATCAGTCTTTTTGGGTGGGGCTACGCTAAAAATTAATTCAGTAAATGTCCAGTTAAGGTGGCACGGTGGCTCAGTGGTTAGCACTGTCGCCTCACAGCAAGAAGGTCGCTGGTTCAAGTCCCGGGTGGGCCAGTTTTCATTTCTGTGTGGAGTTTGCATGTTTTCACCGTGTTGGCGTGGGTTTCCTCCGGGTACTCTGGTTTTCCTCACAGTCCAAACACATGCGCTATAGGGGAATTGGTAAACAAAATTGGCTGTAGTGTATGAGTGTGTATGGGTGTTTCCCAGTATGGAAGAGCATCCGCTGTATAAAACATATGCTGAAATAATTGGCAGTTCATTCAACTGTGGCAACCTCTGATAATCAGAGACTAAGCCAAGGGAAAATGAATGAATGAGTTATGAATGAATGAGTTAATGCAAACTCCACACAGAAACTGTCCCAGCCTGGACTCGAACCAGCGACTTTCTTGCTGTGACCCCATTAATCAACAAAGAGTTGTAAATACTATAATATATACAGTTTTATACACTTTAGATTAGTATGGTTCAAAAATACTGTGTTATTTACCATAAGCTACTATAGTATTTTTTTCTTATGGGGTTTACCTCCAGCAGCTCATCTCCCACCAGGATGTGTCCATCTTGTCCGGCCGCACCGCTGGGATCAATGCCGACCACAAACACACTCATTCGAGAACGATCGCGGTTGCCAGCCAGACTCAAACCCAAACCCGCACGACCTTTCTCGAGCTGGAGGATGTGGAGCTCACCCGGCAGACGACCATAGCGCTCGCTGACCTTCTCTTCTCACACACACACACACACACACACGCACACACACACACACACACACACACACACGCGCACACACACGCGCACACACACGCGCACACACACGCGCACGCACAAGTATAGGAAAAATTTAAATGAACATATTGAAGTGCATTAGGTAAGGGATAAATTACATCCAGGATGGTTGTTATTCTTTGATAACCCTTCTGGATGTACTTTATCCTGTTTATTACACTACTACTACATACAAAACATCATTTAACAAAAACATTGTACTGCACATTATTTAATCACAAAATAGCGCCAAACAGTCAAAAACACAGGTTCTACCAGTACTTTAGGGTGGGGCTATCAGTCTTTTAGGGCGGGGCTATCAGTGCTTTGGGGTGGGGCTATAAGTCTTTTAGGGTGGGGCTATCAAAGCTTTAGGGTGGGGCTATCAGTCTTTTAGGGCGGGGCTATCAGTGCTTTAGGGTGGGGCTATCAGTCTCTTAGGGTGGGGCTATCAGTGCTTTAAGGTGGGGCTATCAGTCTTTTAGGGCGGGGCTATCAGTGCTTTAGGGTGGGGCTATCAGTCTCTAAGGGTGGGGCTATCAGTGCTTTAGGGCAGGGTTATCAGTCTTTTAGGGTGGGGCTATTAGTACTTTAGAGTGGGGCTATCAGTCTTTTAGGGCAGGGTTATTGGTGCTTTAGAGCGATGCAATCAGTGCTTTAGGGTGGGGCTATCAGTCTCTTAGGGTGGGGCTATCAGTCTTTTAGGGTGGGGCTATTAGTACTTTAGGGCGGGGTTATAAGTACTTTAGAGTGGGGCTATCAGTCTTTTGGGGGGGGCTATCAGTCTTTTAGGGTGGGGCTATCAGTGCTTTAGGGCATGGTTATCACTACTTTAGGGTGGGGCTATCAGTGCTTTAGGGCAAGGTTATCACTACTTTAGGGTGGGGCTATTAGTACTTTAGAGTGGGGCTATCAGTCTTTTAGGGCAGGGTTATTGGTGCTTTAGAGCGATGCAATCAGTACTTTAGGATGGGGCTACCAGTCCTTTAGAGCTATTAGGCTATTAGTCCTTTAGGGTGGGGCTATCAGTCCTTTGGGGCGGAGCTATCAGTCCCATAGGGTGGGCTATCTGTCGTTTGGGACGGAGCTATCAGTCCTTCAGGGCAAGGCTATCAGTACTAGTCCTTTATGTTGGGTCTGTCCGTCCTTTAGAGTGGGGCTATCAGACCTTTAGGGTGGGTCTCTCAGTCTTTTAGGGTGGAGCTATCAGTCCGTAAGGCTGGGAAAATCAGTCTTTTAGGGTGGGGTTCTCAGTCCTAGTCCTTTAGGTTGGGTCTCTCAGTCCTAGTCTTTCAGGGTGGGGCTATCAGACCTTTAGGGCGGGGCTCTCAGTCTTTTAGGGCGGATCTATCAGTCCTTTAGGCTGGGGCTATCAATCTTTTAGGGCCGGGCTTTCAGTCATTTAGGGTGGGGGTATCAGTCCTTTAGGGCAGTGCTATCAGTCTTTTAGGGCAGTGCTATCAGTCTTTTAGGGCGGAGCTATCAGTCTTTTAGGGCGGGCTGTCAGTCCTTTAGCACGGGGTTATCAGTTTCTGAAGCACAATATCATGCACTGTCCTACATTTTTTTTCTCATTTTAAGGCAAGCTTATTTTCACAAGCGTAACTTCCGTTTCACGGCGACTTTAAGTGTGCTGGTCATGCTTTAAGTGTGTGCTTCAACTCTGCTGGCAGCAGTGTGTAACTGCGTCAGTGAGACTCACTCCAGCTGTATCCGTACTCATCCTCCTCTTCCTCATCAGGAGCGTTGTGATGAAGGTCCAGTCGGTCAGGAATCTCCGTCAGCGTGTCCGAGTCTGTTTCTCCAACATGAGGAACCACCGGTAGAGACAGAGCCGAGACTTTACACTCGTCACGATTCAGCTGAACACACACAGATGCACACACACACAAAGACACACAAATGCAATCAAAAACACACACACATGCAAAAAAACACACACACACACACACAAAGAAAATTAAGACTTGATTTGGATCCAGTGAGCTCGTCATCTGTCAGCTCCGCATCCTCCATTAACTCATGAAATATGAAGTTAACATAATCAAACATTTAACACTTGAATCTGTTCTCCATTTCTCAGCATGAAGAGTCAATAAAACAGAGACGTGCTGCTGTTCTGTAAAACACACACCGCAGATCATCCATCAGACAGATACGCTCATGCTCAATGAAGAGAGAAGAATTACACAACATCTCATTTATGCTGTAACATTAACTCTTCTGCACACCGTCTGAAATATTGAGTCATATACTGTAAGACTGTCATCTGTGGAGCAAAAATGGAGATGTTTATCCGAATGTTCATGCTGCACTTTTCTAATCTGCATATTTATATAATTTCTTATTTACTAATCTACCTTTATTATGCACTTTAGTCCAAGTTTAACAACTCTTTTCTGTTCCACAGAATAAAGAAAATCATGCAGATTAATAAGAAAATAGACAGTAAAATGTATATTGTAGTCCAAAACAAAACTCTAAAATTAGTTTATTCAGCATCAAAATCCACTTTAAGCCACTGAATAGAATGCATCAATAATTATTGCAATGAATAATATAAATGCATGATTTGTAAATGTTTAAAATATATTATAAATTAAAAAAAAAAAAAAAAAAAATATATATATATATA